AGTTAAGGTGGAAAGAGTAGAGGCACTTCTTTTCCCCATAACTTTATTACACTTGTGTCAAACAAAAATATCTTAACCCAAACCAGCTTATTCTCAGGACACTTCATGGGCTGACTCATGGTTGGGGTGGACCTAAACTGTCATCAGGTCATACTTGTGCTAGTGCAAGGCTTTTTGCTCCTGGATCAAACAAGTCCTTTGCCTTTGTGGCATTGATAGCCAAGAAAGAAGGCACAGATTCTGATGGGGTGAAGCTAGAAGTCAAATCAGAATTTTGATAAGACAATAAGTAATAATTTTCTTCCATATTTTCTGCCCACATTTGAGATGCAATTTGACTTTATAAATACTTAATGAAAGTATTAATAAGTTTTCTGTATCCCACGGAGCTGTAAAATGAAACTTTTACATTGTTAACCAGGTTGAATTGCTAACCATATGAATATCCTTCCTGTCGTTAAGCCCTGGATTTGAAGTTGGAGGGCTTGTCCTTTACAACAAGACTAAATATTTGTTTCTGTTCACCTTTGAAGAGAAAGCAATAGCCACACACACACATTTTTCTGCTTTACCTTTTCCAGTGTGGATCCTCTGTTCCAAAGCATTATGCGAGACTTGAAATAGTGCCATTAAAAAAATGTAAGCACACAGAGTTAATAGTTAACTTTGTAGTATAATCAGAGACGCTTTGCAAAATGTAGAACTGGGCTGTAAAAAGAAGTACTAAAGATCTTATCATTGGAGCCAACTAAATGCAGATTTTTGGCTGTGTATAGCCAACATGACTTGAAATTCCATGGACTCAGATAGCTATTCCAAGTGCTTCTTTGGTTCCCAAGTTCAAGAAGTTGATGGGAACTGTAGCAATATTTTCAAAGACTGAATGTCAATCTCTAAGCTAGCAGGGTTGTCCCATGCTTTTAAAGCCATATATAATATAAACGAAGTGTGGAATCCGCATATTTATTAGGTTCCGTGTCACACAACTTAGTATAACTATTTGTTTTTGAGAAGATGTGGTTTGTTTTGTTTTGAATTCTCATTCCATCACCTTGTTTCTGAAATATTCTTGTCAGTAATACAATTTAAGCAAAGGGATGTTCAGAAGAAATCCTTCATGTTAGGATATAGGGGAATTCAGGTAAAAATGTACCAACCCAAGGAGGAGAACTACAGCCAGGGTTTTAGTGCCTGGAATTGGAGCTTATTCCCAGTGCTGCTCCTGCAGAGTCTCTTGTGTGCACTTGTTTCTGTTCACGTGTTTTGAAGCTTTTTAACTTTGTGTCTTTTAAGAAAGGATGGCTTGTGTGATCAGTGGCAAACAGAAGCTAATTATGTTTAGGGCAAGTCTAGGTAGAGAAGGTCATTTCAGAGGCGACTAACTTTTAAGTGGTTTGCAGCAGAAATTATTTGCCTGAAAACTTACTGAGTGTAAAACCAAATTGAAGGGGTTTTTACTTGGCAAAAATGTGTAGAGAAGAAACTTCTACAAATCTTGTACTTAACCTCCTCTTACAAAATACAGTTTTTCCATAGTGCTGAAGATAAGGGTTTCTGCTTGGTTTTTGGTTAGCTGTTTTTTTTGGATGTTTTAAGTGAACTGATGTTGCTCTTTGCTGGTTTTGGATGGCTGGATAAAAAGCTGATGATGCTCTGTTAATATTTTTCTCAGTGTTTTTAGAAAAACATACACAATTTTTAATGTATTCATTTTTGAAATACTAAAAATCTCTAATTCCTTTTCAGCAAAAGCACCTTGAAATTGAAAGAACTACAAAATGGCTTAAGATGCTGAAAAGCTGGGAAAAATACAAGAATAGTGAAAAGGTAAAGTTCTGCATGTTTTTGCCACTGTCACTTCTGAATGGATGTGTACCCTTAAATTAGATTGCCTCTGTTTGATAACTGGAAAAACCAAAACCTCACACTGAAAAAAAAAAAAGGCTTTTTATTCTTTCAAAAGGCAGTAATACATAATAACCCAATAGTAATAATAATGACCCAACAAAATTGGTGGTCAAATGTAAAGAATTGTGTTCATGTCTGCAAAAAAAAAAAATGTCGGTAAGATAGTTTGTGGAAAGATTGGGCCATGTTAGTTCTGCCATTAAGGAGTAAGTAGGGTAGGGACTTTCATACGGGTAGTTTATTTGCTGGTAGTCTTGGTCGTCTTAAAATTACAAAAGAATTTCAGCTGGGGAAAAAACTTGCTGGAGAGACTTGTTCCCAAATCCGTGTCCTGGGGAGGTTTTTGTAACTGGTCCCGTGGCTGTTTGGTGGATAATGCACAGAATGTGAGGTTCCCAAATTCAGATTCCATTTCTCCTAAATAAGGCTTAAAACTTGCATTTTCTGTTGGGGGTTCTGTCAGTATTTTGTCGTGCTGCTGATCCTGTCATCTTCTCTGGGAGGAGAAAGCTAGAGGTCCTAATGGTTGTGGCTTAATTTCTTTACTGTGGCATTTGGGTGATTTGAGGATCAACTGTTCCCAAATCAAAGGGATGATAAAAAAACCTGTGTAACAGCCACATTTGCAAAGAGAATGTTAAATATGACCTTTCAGGTAGCACAATAACTAGGTGTGTCTAAGCAGCAGCAGTCTTGCTGTTCAGCCTTGGTGACATCCCTGATACACTGACTGAACTAAATAATCCTCCCTTCACCAAGCATGCAGAAGGTATAGCAGAGCAGCTGAGCAGAAAGAGTTTCAGTTCATGTAACAAATTATTGGCTGAACTATAAATAGTGGCAGGAATAATTCAGTATGTTCATAAAGGGGTGAACTTTGCTTGAGGCTAGGAAAAATATTCACTCATTGTTGAACTCTAGTGGAGCACATGAGACTTAGAATAAGGAAAACACCCTTGTATTTTTTCTCACATCTTAAGTGGTAAGTGAACTAGAACATAGAGAATAAAGAACTGGCTGCTGCTTCCTCCTGAGCATGCAGTGGAAAGCTCAACATTATTTGTCACTGCTCTTTATTAAAAGCCTGTGCATGTTCTCAGTGTTGAGCAAAACTCACAATTAAAGACAGTTTTTGTCTGGAAGTGTGTTGGAAGAATGCACCAGCTTTCCATGCTTGCCTTCTTGAAGCATGGAAGTGATAGTTGCAGGAACAGTTCCTGACTCTTGCTTTCTGTCTTCACTTGATTGGATAAAGTGGTTAATGCTAGAGGAACAAATTGCTAAAGAAAACGAACAGCCTGTGTGTTAAGACTCACTTCAGCTGACACTGCCATGGCTTCTGTGCAGTCAGACTGCTCCTCAGGCCAGTGTTCTTTGGGAACATTGCAGCCACAACAGCAATAATAATGTTGTGGGATTAGAGGTTGGAATTGTAGTGATGACTTGGTTTTGGAAAATGGCATACTTGAGAGATGCTTGTGTTCTTAAAAAGAGAGCAAGGGAGACTTGGAGAACGTGATGGTTCCAGGGATACAGCAGGGATGTACAAAATACAGAACTTGAGACAGCCTGTTTGTAATGAGCCTTCATAATATACAGCTGAGAGTTTTGCCTTGAGGAAATCTGTTCCTACTGTACACATACTGTAAATCCATTTATTTGATTACATGATCCAAAACTGTCATATGCTTAATTGCAAAATACAGTTTTCATTTGATACTCTTGCAGAGCTGCCTATAGGCTGCCTCCTGACTTTTTTTCTGTCATAACTTCACAAGAAGAATGAAGAGAGAACATTAACACACTGATATATGTTTGTGTGTGGATGCAAGATGCTTCAGTTTACATCTTGCCCTGATCTTTATTGCAGAAGAATATCTCAGGAAAAAGATGAGGGCTCTGGGAACTTCACACTGTTTTCCATTGGAACTGTTGTGCTTAAACCCAATTTAAAAAGAAAGGGGATTGAGTGGGGAATAGAAGGCAGCAATGTGTGACCATGGGGAACTGGAAAAATTTGGAGGAGTTGTCACACTGAGATGAGAAATGTGCCAGGTTCTGCCATGTCTGAATAGTGATTTAGAGGTAATGAAGAATGACATAATGAAGTAAGCCCATGTACAGCTCCATAGCTGTGTAGAACCACAGAATGGTTTGTGTTGGGACCTTAAATAGCATCTAGTTCCAGCCCCCTGCCATGGGCAGGGACACTGCCACTAGGCCATGTTGCTCAGAACCCCATCCAGGGATGGACCATCCACAGCTTCTCTGGGCAACCTGTGCACACACAGCTCAGTGTCGTTGGCAGATTTGCTGAGGCTGCACTCAATTCACTGTCCATGTCACGGACAAAGATGTTTAACAGTACCTCTCCCAGTACTGACCCCTGAGAACACCACTCATCACTTTTCTCCACTTGGACACTGAAGGCAAGGCACTGCATGGCACAAGGCAGGATACCACGACTCACTGGCTGTGTCCATCCATCCAATTCCTTATCCACCAAGTGCTCCATGTTTCTTCATTTTAGACAAGGATGCTGTGTGGGACAACGTCACATGTTTTGCACAAGTTCAGGCAGACAATGTCTTTTTCTCTTCCCTTACCCACCAACAGAGCAACCCTGTCAGAAAAGACCACTGACTCTGCCAGGAACGATTTGCCTTTAGTGAATGTTGGTTGTCACCTTCTCCTTTATCACGTGGCTTAGCATAGTTTCCAGGAGGATGTACTCCATGATCTTGCTGGGCACAGGGATGAGACTGGGCTGTAGTTCTCCACATCATCTGTGATGTTGGCCTTGTGGCTGGAGCACTTGTCAGACTGAGGCAGAAATACTGTGGATACAAAAAAATCTCCATGTCCTGGGTAACCAGGTTTCCTGTCTCCTTCTGGAAAGGGCTCACATTTTGCCTAACCTTCCTTTGATCATGAACATACCTAGAAGAGGTTTCCTTATTGACCTTGATGTCTCTGGCTAGATTGAGTTCTGTCAGGGCTTTAGCTTTCCTAACCTGATTCCAGGCTGCTCCTACAATCTCCCTGTATTACTCCCAGGCTGCCTGTCCTTGCTTCCCCTGCCATAGGCTTCCTTTCTCTGTTTGAGGTTGGCCAGGCACTCTTTGTTCACTCATAGGGGCCTCCTGGTGCCTTTGCCTTCCTTCCTCTTTGTGTACAAAACTCCTTGATTCCTGTGTGTTTATTTAGGCATCTCTTTCAGTGGAGTCATCGTGATTCTTACAGACATCAGTCTCTGAAGTGTGTAACTGCCCTTGTGTCTTTGCGTGATTGATATTTGTCAAAACAAAGCTTTCATCTCCCCATCAGTCATTTCTTATGCAGGAAGTGTCACAGAGCAGCAAAGTTTGTGTTTCACTGTGGTCTTTCTCTAGCTTATGCTTTCATTTCCTATTTGTATTCTACTGCTTAGTAGTCCAGGGTACAATCAACCACCCACAGATAGTAAATCCTTCCTGGCTTAGTATGATCATAACTTTCAGGAAAGATTAAATAAAACTATTATGTGTTGTATTCCCATTTGAGTATTTCCACCAAAGTATTCCTGTCTTTCCCTGTCTGCCTTCATCTATCTGTGATTGAAGTTACCTAAATTGAGAGGGAAAGGAAGAAGAGAAACAATCAGTGTAGCTGCCATTTCCAGCTGCTCTGGCATTCACACAGAGTATAATAATCAAGTCTCCACTTAGTTTGGAGTCTGAACACAGAGCTTTAATGAAGAACCCTCTTCTCATCCCTGAGATTTTTTGAATGAGATGGAGCAACTCTTGTATTTGCACTTTTTCTTCTTTTTATGCAACCCAGAGAAGCTGAAGAACCTCTAAAGGCAGCAGCCTTTATAAATATACTTTCTTTTCATTATAAATATACTTTCTTGTGAGACTTCTGGTTTTAATTCTTGTGCTTCTCATCACTGATTCTTTTTGAGGTGGCAGAGTCCCTCTGCTGCTTCTGCGGCTTTTCCTGACACAGTTGAGAAAGTTTCATTTGCAAGAAAACCAGTTTTACATCTTGCAGGAGCAGTGATGGCAGTTCCCACTCTGCAGGCTGGTGTTGTGTGACAGTGGCCCTCACTGCTTGTCCAGGAGCTAGTTGGATTTATGAGCTGGGGAGATCGGGGCATGGGGGGAAGGGGAGGTTTTTTATTTTCCAGGTTTTTTGCTTGGAGGCAACATTAAATGTTGGATGTTATGGACTTCATTATTTGAGATGATAGGTAATTTGGAGTATTCCAAATTTGAGGGTTTTCTCTTTCTTCTAGCTTTGTAAGTGTTTTAGTTCATTCTGTATCTTCTATATATTTACAGGTCCAATTTCTTTTTGCATGAGAAGCTCCTTTTGAATTCCCAGGTGATAGGAGCTCACCTAGTGTCTGTTTGTCCTGTCTCCTTTAGGATCAGCAATATTAGTCATAATTGCAAGAGTCTGACAGCTATCCTTGGCTGAATATCAGCTTAGATGTGATATAGAACTTGAACCTCTATTTTTATTTATTTTGCCTTTATGTAATTATAAGTAAAATGCTTTCTTTGTCCCATGCTGATGCAAACATCCCAGATTCCATACCACCAGTCTCTGAATGATGCATGTTTTCATACAACAATTATCCGAACTCCGAGTTCATATACTTGTATTTTGTTTTGAGCTAGTATCTTAAAGAAAGTCTTAATTTTAAAGTATTTGTTGAGGATTGAGTCATTATTTCATCTCCCCAGATGCAGAAGAAAAAGTAGCTTAATTAAAATAGAATGTAGAAAATTTAGTATTAATTCAGAGGGAGCAGAAGAGTAGATTAGGATTCTGCAAGTATATAGACCCAACCAGCATTGCTTAACTCACGTAAGGAAAGAAAAGACAGCAGAGGGCACTAGTATGGTGCTTATGGTGCAGAGATTCAGTTAGCTAATGATCAGTTTGCTCATTTAGATTAACTGTTTGGTGGCTCAATGAGTGTCAGAGGTGAATTTTGCTGTGAAGTATGTGTGGGTTCTCCCCATACTCTCCAAGATGCAGCACAGCCATGTCATTGTCACAAAATTGCAGTATCAGAAAGGATCACAGGAAGGTTGAGGTTGGAAGGGACCTCTGGTCCTACCCCCTGCTCAAGCAGAGGGTCACCTACTGTCCAGGACCATGTCCCAGTGGCTTTCAAAAATCCCTGAGGATGGAGACACCACAACTCTGCAGGTGACCTGTGCCAGTGCTTGGTCACCCTCACAGTGAAAAAGCATTTGCTGATGTTCAGAGGGAACCTTCAGTATTTCAGTCTGTGCCCGTTGGTCTTGTCATTGGGCACTACTGAGCAGAGCCTGTCCTCTTTGCACCTCCCTTGAAGTATTTATATACATGGATAAGATCCTCCTGAGCCTTCTCTTGCCCAGGCAGAACAGTCCCAGCTCTTTCAGCCTCTCTCCACTGCTGAAATCATCATTCCCTTCATCTCTGTAGCCCTTTGCAATATGTCCATGTCTGGCTTGTACTGAGAAACACAGAACTGGACTCAGTGTTCCAGGTGTGGCCTCACCACTGCAGAGTAGAGGGGAAAGATCTCCTCCCTTGACATGCTGGGAATGCTTTTGTTGAACATACCCAGGGTAGCATTAGTTGTCTTTGTTTCAAGGACACTGTGCTGGCTCCTGTTCAACTTGGTGTCCACCAAGACCTCCAGGTCCTTTTCTGCCAAGCTGCTTTCCAGCTGGGTGACCCTCAGAATGTTCTGGTGCCTAGGATTGTTCCTCTCCAGGTTCATGACTTTGCACCTCACCTTGTTGAGCTCCATGAGGCTCCTGCCAGCCCATTTCTCCAGCTTGTTGAGCTCGCTCTGTGTGCCAGACTTCTCCAGCTTCTGTACAAACTGCTTCCACAGTTCTCTATTTCAGTTTTTATTTGCTGTTTCATAGGCTTTTCTAGTGTTTGTCTCTTTCAATCCAGGCAGCACAGAAAACTCTAAATGCCATGGACTCCTCTGAAACTGGTGGTGGCTCTCCTTTAGTTTTGTCTCACCAAAACCACCCTGAAACAACCCTACACTTTGGATTTGTTTTAATTCTGTTTGGATAAGAAGCTGTTATTACAAAGGCTTGTTTTTGGCCTTTGATATCCACCTGACCTTCTCTCAAAATATTAATTTAGAACAGCAGTAGTCTTGAGAATTTATTCTTCCACCAGTTCTCTTCATTAGTAACCTTTTGTTCTTGGAGATACTTGAAAATGAGTTACAAAATTGTAATTAACTGACAAAAATGTCTGTTGTGAAGGTATTCTGTTGCTGCACTATGGGTGTGAGGAGTACAACTACCTGTCACTGGGGACATAGATCACTGCATTTTTTATCTTTTTTTAAAAAATTGCCTTCCAATTTCCACAAAAGATTTTGCAAATGTGGCTCATTCTGCTTTCCAATAGACAGGCTGATCTCTTCCTAGGATGACTCCACTGCAGTTGTGGTGTTTGTCTTTCAAAGGGCTGAATTCCCTCTCACCAGCAGTTACTGTGTGTCTGGGCTGACACACACTGAAATTCTCAGTGTGACCTGAGGTCTGGATCTCCATCTCTAGAGGAGGTTGCTTTGTAGCTCTGGATGTTATTCTTTATCCTTGCAGAAGAAACTGTACTGACATAGCTGTGATCATAATACGAGTGTTGCTGCTTTAGCATGCTCAGTATTAAAGCAGCCAAGTTTTTCTTTACAAAGCACAACATTTTCTTTGTGGACAGCCTTCAGGATTGCTGCTGCATCTTACACAAGTTTAAAATGTTCATTTGAAAATGGAACGGGGGGAAAAAAAGGTCATAACCTTACTTGTGCAAGAATTATGGATTCTAAAATCCAGACACAAATCCTTGCTGGCATTAAAGACACCTTTAAAGAGCTGCTACATCCCAAACAGCAGGAGGTTTGCAAATGTACTCAACGAGGGGTTCATTAATTTTCCAAAACTGGAGATGTGAAATACATGAAAAGGAAAACGACCCTGTCTTTGAAGAGGGTATTTCTTTTAAAATGTTTCTTATGTGGCAAACATAACTTTTATAAAAATGTTTAAAGGAAGTGATAGCTTTGTCAATTGAGATTTTGAAAGGTCAACTCTCACTGTAGGATAAATGGGAAGAATAAATTGTTTGGAGAATGGTTGTGTGTGTTTTGTTCTCTTATGAATCTAATTGCCTCCTGTGTCATCATTAAAATAATGGTGAAACAACTTCAGAAACGTTTATTTTCTTTGTTAGAGCTCTCTTTTTTGTTTCCCTTTTTTAGGCATGTTCCCTCAAAGATGATAACTTGTTTGTGGGTTTTATTTTGGTTTTGTGCAAATCTTTTAATATGCATTTAGAAAGCTGATTATTAGTTTAGAAATCTGTGAGCTGCAGAAATGGTGCAGCCTAGTTAGTGTTTTAGTGATCTCAGAGTTGCATACATAAATTTCAGAATGCTGTTGCCGTTATACAAGAATTAAAAATCAGTTCTGCTTTTTATATTTTATTGGAAATCTTTAAAGCTTTGTGATATTGCTGCTTGCCTTTCACCATTTCTGTGTGTAGTTTTGTAAAGAGAGTGAGTTATTTGTGGTTTATTCTGAAATACTCTGTCGCTAAGAATCATAGAATCATAGAATTTAGGGGCTGGAATGGACTTTACAGATCATCTAATCCCAACCCCCTGCCCTGGGCAGGGACACCTCCCACCAGAGCAGGTTGCTCAAGGCTCATCCAACCTGGCTGTGAACACTGTCAGGGTTGGGGCAGCCACAGCCTCCCTGGGCAACCTGTGCCAGTGGCTCACCACCCTCACAGGGAAAACCTTCCCCTCCTTCAGTTTGAACCCATTACCCCTTGTCCTATCATTGCAGTTCTTAACAAAGAATCTGATTTTTTGGGTCTAAATTACAAAATTTGCTCAGCAAAGGTGATGCAATTTTGATAGACCTTTCTACATGTGAAAGTCTTGGCTTGTAGGCATGGCCTGTGTGCCTGTTTTGTCCCTGTGCCTCTGGATTCTGTCAGGAGGTCCCAGATGGCATCACTGGACACTCCAGGTCCCTCAAAAGACTCTGGTACACTTTGTCCCCAGCAGGTCATCCCTTTGATAGGACAACTATGTAAATGCATTTTTCTCTCAGCATGTTGTGCATCGCTGTTCCTTTTGTTCAGAGCATTGTAGATTGTGCTGCATTTATATATATTTTTTTCTTTTCTTTTTACAGTTTCATAGGAGAATTTATAAGGGGATCCCACTGCAGTTCAGAGGGCAAGTCTGGTCTTTGCTACTTGATGTCCCTAAAATGAAAGAAGAAATGAAAGACTTCTATAATGTGAGTTTGTAGAATTTCCACTTAATTAAAAAAATCAGATGCTAAAACTACAGGCTTTATTAAGCTTTTGTTGTTATGCAGTGTTATAAAAGTAAATTAGAAATTACATTACTGCTTGTTTTAGCTAGGAAAAAGGCTGTGTATTCAAAAGTGCTTTTCCAGCTTGTTTTCTTTGGTTCTGTAATTCATGGAATTAATTGGATCTGATTTCCATTTCCTTTCCTGTTCTCAAATACTCACAAAATCCTTCTCAAATCAAAGCAAAATAAAACAAGAAAAATCCATTGTCCCAGTAAGAAGACTTGGAAACTACAGCTCTTTGAAAAATGTCAAATGAGTACCAGTGGAGGAAGTTCCAGTGTTCTGGAAGTGATGGTACCTTAACTTTGTAACAGCCAGAACAAGCTGATAATCTTTGTCATCTCATCTCCCAATGAAACCTAGATATTCTTTACAAGGCACTGCCTGGTTACTTGATTGTATTCTCAGAGGTGCAACTGATGACAGGATATTAACCCCACAAAATTCTACAGGCATTAATCAGCCACTTAAGCATATTTTCTACTTCGAATATGAAGGAAACAGCTGTGTTACCTCCTCAGCCTCACCCTGAGTAGCAGTTAAAGCAACCTGTGAATTATTCTGGCTAAGCTTCTCTCAATTTTTCCCTACTCTTAATTCCTCTCTAGGTGTGGATATAGCTGCTGACCATCAGAGCTGAACTTCAGACCCAAGAGCAGGGAGTAAGGTTCATGTGCAGGCAAGGAAGTTAGGCAGAAGGGGAATCAAATCCTTTAAAATTTTGTCTTTTCCTCTCTGCCAAAGGATTACAGAGAGAGTTCAGCTAACAGAAAGGCAATTTACTATTGTTATGTGTCTGAATTTATCCCCATAGGAATATAAGAGTTCAGTGCCTTTTAAAGGAATAATGTAGAGTTTCAAGGAAATGCATTGCTTATTTGATTTTGGCATTTTCTAATAGCTCTTTTTTGGAGCTGAGAATTCGTGTCTGACTAGATGAGGAATCTTATGTGGCCATGAAATAAGATTGATGTTGGCATTGATGTTATCTAAATTTTGGTGTCTGTGATCTTCCTCTTAAATTATTCCTCTCTTTAGTCTGTCAGACTGCTCTTTCTGACTATTACATTTTATTTAACTTCCTAAGTAAGACTAGTGGCAGATCCAGAAAGGATAAAGCAGAGTTCATGTTGAATGGTGTAGCTGTGGGAAGGAGTAAAACTAGAAGCATTTAAAAATAGGTGAATTAATCTTCAGAAAGGATTAATGCCATCTAATGCTCAATGGAAAACAAAGCAGTGTTTGTAGTTCAGGTATAGAAGTCGAAAGAGTTTCTTCCATCATTATCCTGGTTTGTTTATTTGCGATAAGCTCATTTTACTGATCTCCATTTCCTGAGGTGATATTACCACTCCTCATTACAAGTATCACTTGCAAACTGCACACCTTAAAATCAGAAGGATAATATGCATATTTGCTGTAGGTCAGACAGCTGCTTTCAGTTCCCTCTGCAGGGCAATTACCAGTTCTTTGTCTGTGCTTTCAGTTCCTCAAACCTTAGGTACTTTCCTTTTCACTCACACGAGGAGTTACCACCATGGCAAGGGCTCAGGGTGCTGCTGTTGTATGTTCCAACAAATCATAGGCTCTGGGTCCTCATGGAACCTTAAAACTATACATTTTCTCTTCTCTGCTTTTCTGTCTGGGGAATGAATCACTCTGGGTGTTATTAGCTGAAGTTGTACTGAATGGTGTGTGTAGCTGAGGTTGTGGTTAGTGCTGTGTTGGTTCACAACTGCTACTGGTTGGTGCAGTGACTCACAGGCAATTCCTCATGTGCCTGAAGCTTCTGGTTGTGTTCAACACACTGGATGCATGTCGTTCCCTTTATCTATCTGATTTTTGTCTTTTATCCTTCTTGGTTTCTTGTACCCAGAACCTCTAGAGTTTTGCCCTTTGTTTGTCTGTGGTATTCCCTAATAATGCCTCCCCAGATGTAATGTTTCCACAACACTGTGTTGAATCCAGGGTCTTGCAAACTAAACTTTTAAGGACAGAAGTGAGAATGAATGACTGAATGAATGTCAAAAAATAAGGTGGCAATCTAACCTGTGCAGGCTTCCTAAGCATTCAGTTGCAAAAATGGATTTAATTATAAAACACTAGAGCAAGTGCTAAAGTAGATATATTCTACAGCTAAATTAGATTAGAACAGAAGACAGAGGAAATTACTACAGAAATGTCCATTATCTATACTTAGATAATAACTGGCCACTATGTAGCTATTACTTCTGCTTAGAGAAAAAGGCAGGGAAAGTGTGAAAGCCACACTAAATCATTTTCTAAAAGTCCAATCTGAAGCATTTGAGTCTTAGGTTCTTGTTCCTGAGTAGTAAAATTAATTTTCTGTCTTTGTCCAGTTCTTTGCCTACCTGAGAAATGGCAATAAGAAACTGCTGAAACAGCCTTGAATATGGATAGTGAATGATGTCCAAAAAAATAAGTGTTGTTGGATTGGCCTTTATTCATCTCTATGAATTTGTATATGCATATTTTGGAAGTTAAAATTGTTATCCTGTGAGTTGCTATTCTATAGTGTCACATGGTGACAAATACTCCGATATAGGTGTATAGTCAGGCAGATTTCTGCTGGTTTAGAGTTCACAATTTTAAACTTAATTCCTGTTCTTTACTGTTTTTCCAGAAATTGAAGTGTCAAGCGCGAGGGTCTTCGCCAGATATTAGGCAAATTGATCTTGATGTAAACCGAACGTACAGAGATCACATCATGTTTCGGGACAGATATGGTGTGAAGTAAGTAAATTGGAAAAGTTTTGTTCTTCTTGTCTTAAAACTGTCTCTTGGTCTGCCTCGAGCCTCCTCGACCTGGCCAAGCAAATTGAATGTGAGCTCCAAACTTTCAAACCAGGATTGTCTCTCTGCAGGGATGTAGATATTGTTACTAGCACAAAACCATCTAACTAACTACTTTTCCCTCACTTAGGAGGTGGTCAGTACCATGCCAAAGAAAGCCATTTCTAAACTGTTCTCTTCTTGTTTATTAATAAGAAGAGTCCCAGACACTACATACAAATGCATGGGAATTCCAAGCTTAGAAGTGAATTAAGATTTATTATACAATCATTTTATTTAACTGTGCATTTCTCATCACTTTTATCTTCCCAGAGATTTTTGCCTTCCTTTGGATTTTATATTCCTTTTCTCCTACTATCTAATTCAGAACCAAATAAACCAGTGTTTTCATATGTGAGCATTTAAGTATTTACAAATGTAGGGCACAACACTTTTGGATTTCCTAAAAATGTTTTGGTTTGGTTTTTTTTCCTGCTGCAATTGGATGAGAAATATTAGGCAGCTGTCATCTTTAAAAATGCTTAGTAGTGAAAAAAGTGGTGATACAAACATCAGTATTGTTGCTGGCTTGCAGCATCAGCACCCTGCTGAGATGAAGAGAGTATTTCGTCCCTTCTGTCTCTGTATTAGTACAGTTTTTAATCTCCTTTCCTTGCCAAGGCAGATTCTATGGTAGTCTACTATTTTCAAATAGCAATACTCAGAGCTGTGGACTTAATGTGATAATGTAAACCTTTTTCTTACATTATTATTCTAGGTATTTTGTGGCAAAATTCTAAATATGGGGAATTTCTGTGATGGCAGTAACACAGAAATGAGCACACAGCTGTTCTGTTCAGATCCATATGTGCAGTTCTGTCTGCACGTTGCCCCTTGGCAGTACTGACTTGGTGCCATCCCACACTGACTGGGTTGCTCTGAGCCCTACCTAGCTTCTGTGCACACATTGCAGGTGTCACTTCGGGGTTAACACAGGCAGAGCCAGCTCCAGTCCCCGTGGCTGTGTTGTAAGCATGCCCTCAGAGTCCACAGGAAAGCCTTTGGCTGCCTGAAGCAATTTCACACTTGGAATAGATCTTGGAATTACTGTACGTATATTATGCATTTCCAGCGATGCCTTGATGAAAAATTCAGAAATCATTTCACATAGCAGTGAAATAAAGTCCCCTGGGTAAGCCAATAGCTTGTTTGACTTTTAAGCAGACTGCATGTCTTCAAAGTTCATTCTTTTACAGGTCTTTAGTGGTATCATCCAGTGTAAATAGTACTAAAATTACCATTGTTTTACGTACGTTACTGGGAATGAGATCGAGCTCTTATGTTCAGTTTTCTATGGTTCCTGTGTGCATTTGGGACCTTATGCTTTGTCCTTGTAAAATAAAGCTCTGGCTTATCTGGTACTTGTGGTTACACTTTTGTTTGATTACTGAAGAGTGGCTAAACTTCAATTCTGCAAGAGGGCAAACAAAAATGCCATACCGTGGATGCTTTGGTAACATTCTCCAAGCATACATCCTTTTGCCAGCAGAAAACAAGCAGCTCTTTGCTCATACTTTATTTTCTTGCTTGACTGTCCCTGGACAGAAAAACACCAATATGCAAAACTCAGCAGTTAACTTTTAGCCGTTTTATTTGTAGATGAAAGTAACATTCAGGAATCCAAATTCTCTCCTGAACACATCACAAAAAGTAGGTGTGGATTTAAAAATTCATTATGATAGCTCTCATCCAGTACTTCCATGTCCCAGCTGAGAAGAGCAGAGTTCTGCTGATTGCTGTTTTGGTTTTTTTTTTGTCTTGCTGCCTTCACGAGTTAGGCTGTTTTACAGAAAGCAAAAGACCTTTACCAATCTCTTTGTAGTTCTGACTCTGAAGTACATGGAGATCAGAACACTCCGAGGACTGAGCGCAGGATGCCGAGTCAGAGTTAATATTGTTTGTCTGCAGTCTGACAGTAGCAATCACCAGAGCAGACTTTAATTCCTGTGCCAAGATTAAGACACCTTTGCTGCTGCTTTGTGTATTTCATGTCTTCACTTCCACATCTCTGTTTGGAATCAGGAACAGCTGTTAGTGCTCTGCAAGCACAGAAATCAGGTCTGAGGGGTTTAAATTTTGGCATTCAGGTTGGATCAGTGTTTGAAATGTAGCCCATGCTATGTTTCCCTTTACCTGTCTGTGAAAATGATGAGCCCACACCATTGCCTTCTCAAAGTTCTGTAGGTATTTTTTGAAACCTTTGAACGTATGAAGCATCATGAAAGTGCTAATTACAAAGTTGTCTTGAAATCAGAAGTGCTTATCTTGGTGAAGTGTGGTTTATCCTGTTCTTTAGTGCTAAACAAGTTAAATTGGGGGAACACATTTCCAAAATACTCTTCACTACTTCTACATTTTTCTGTTTTCATAAAAGACAGTATTATAGTATTTTCCTTTTCTGCTCTTATTTCTCCAGGCAACAATCTTTGTTCCATGTTTTAGCTGCATACTCCATATATAATACGGTAAGTTGTGTATCTTCACACTGAAACCCAACGAACATTTCACAGACCTTTGAAAGTATATAGAAATAAATTGTTTGTTGATGTGTTTTGAGCTGAAGTTAAAAGAGAACATTTTGGTAATGAATATCTTACTGGGCAGATTGAACTGTGCATACAGTTTGGCTGAAGCTAAGTGTTGTGTCTAATAGGAATAATGAATCTTTGCTGTGCTGAAGCATTTTACTACTGATATTTCTCCTCCCATTATATTGTCTGCCTCACATTCATTTGAGTGATGGGAAGGAAAATACTGCAGGAAGATGCATGTTGGAGTCAACAGGCTATTTCATAACCTGAAGGGTTCTAAAAAATGGAAAGTGGTTTTAAAGGTTGCATCATTTTTACGTAAGCCCTTGGTCTTGGCTACAGTCCTGGATGGGGATTTATTAGAGTGGGATTTCCAGACTATATCATAAGGGTTGGACTTACGGATTTTGTAATGTCTTTTGGCTTTATGCTAAAAATAGAAGAAACAGCAATGCTATCATATCCACATTTAGCTGCAGTTCTAATGCACCATCCCCTCATTCCCTAGGCCTGTTTTGAATCTTTCCATACATCTTTCATTTTATGTCCATCAGCAAGTCCCTAGAATCAGTGTAAAAATCTGTAAAGTTAACAAGAGAAAAGTGAATATAGTTAGTCAAATTAACTACTAGTTTGTTTGACTTTTTTCAAAGTTCTAGGAAATGTCACCTTTGTGCCTGACCTTTATACACCTCCTATAAAACATGGGACTAGTATTTTCAAATTGCACAAAAAATATTGTTTAAAACCAACTATTAATAATGAGAATACTGCAGTGAAGTTTTTTTCGCACTCATGTTGATGCATTTTTTTCTCTTAATGTGTAGCAGTTCTTATGCTTTGGTTTTATCTCTAGAGCAAAGTTCTGCTAAGAATTTGTAAACCTGAAAAATGCAACAATTAAGTCATTGCCATTACAAATATCTTATCCTTGGGGTTATCTGAGCAGCTGAATGATAGTGACAGTTGGTTCCTGCCATAGAAGTCAAAATTAATAGCAGAGGAAATACTCAAGTTCAGTTTTGAAACCATAACATTTTTTTATTTGGGTTTATTACAGTTGCTTGCTTATTGGGCTGCTGAACTTGAGCAGGTTTACAGGTCTCTCTTGAAAAGTCCTGTGTTTATCAGATGGTGCCCTGACTGGAAACCAAAGCAAAGTCAGACCCTCTGCCCTCAAAAAAACCCCACATTACAACTAAATGGAAAATGTTACTTGAAGTTATTAATACTGTCAAGGATTTTGTGCATCATTAGCGAGTTCTGATGAACAATCAATACTTCCAGGTTACTCTTCAGTTGGAGGGTTGTGCATCATCCCTTCTATCTGTTTGGTGGTGTTACAATGAGGGAACCTGTGCCATCAGGAGAGGCATCATCTTCTTCCACTAACTCAAGATCAAACTAAGAGCTCATAGTTGTGAGGCTTTTTTTTTCCAGCAGTTTAATATTTTCACTGTCTGATTTTCAGGAAGTTGGATACTGTCAGGGAATGAGCCAGATCACAGCTTTACTCCTTATGTATATGAATGAAGAAGATGCCTTCTGGGCCTTGGTGAAACTTCTCTCTGGTCCAAAGCACGCTATGCACGGTATGGAGTTCCATCTCATTTAGTGTGTTTAGCTTTCAACCTGTCCTGTTTTAGTTGTAAATTGCTGGAAAATGGAAATATGCTGTTCTGTCTGATTAGTCAAAAATGAGACATCGTGGGAGCTTTATACTGGAGGGTATTGGGTGTTGCTGGAGCTCTCACCCTTACAGGTAAGTTATTGGGTTTTTATGTGATGCCTTTCAAATAGTTCTGAATGAAGATCAGGTGGTTTTCTCTCCTCTTACTCTCTCAGGGAGTGTAACCAATTGAAGGCTGATTATGTAGATGTCTATATAGGATTGAAATAGTTGCAGAAATCTAATACATAATGTGTTAAATAATATTCCGGTTGTGCTGTCATGGCAGGACAGGAATCTGCAGTAAAAAATGGACTTGTGTCTGGGCACGAACTTCAGGTTTCTCAGTTTTTATCTCTGCCTCACACAGCATTTCCTGCTCTCACAGTATTGTTACTCTTCTGTTACCAGTAGTTCTCTTTCCATGACAGATTTGGTATGATCTATGCATATTCCATAGCTATTGGTATGGAACAAGTCCAGGAATTCCAGCATCTTTGTGATGTTACTGTTGTGGTGATTCAGAAAAGCTGTAGTTCTCAGAATCCTGAAAAATTAAATGCCATCTAAAACTTGGCTTTTAAACAAATTTCCAACAACTTCTAGCTCCTTTTCCTTGCTTAAGACTTTCTTATACTGTGATATCTTCCTTCCCTGGCTTTTCAGTGTTCCTGGATGTTCTCCACGCCCAAGACCAAGAGCTGATTTGTTATTTTTCTGTTTATCCTCCTTCAAAGCTTTTCCCTTTGAAAAAAATAGTGTGATCTGATGTGAGGATCAATGTTGTAAGTGAAATTCTAAAAGCATGTTAGAAAAAAATCTGTGGTTTTAATAACAACCAAAATCCTATGCAACCTCGACTATGTAGAATGTTGAGCTCCTCAAATCTCAGAAAATTTGAGATGAGTCAGAATCAGCTCATTATGTTGATTTAGTTTTGATACTTGGGAGCTTCATGTAGGTGTAGTTGCTTTTTTAAGATGCTGTAGACAATTGAACTGGATTTAAAAATTTTTTCCAGGTTTTGTCTGTGTCATTCTTTTTGAAAACACAAGAGAGTCTCAACCTTGGAATGTGATGCTCATGGAGAACTTCTAACACAAATTTCTCAGGCTAATTTTTGTAGTCCTCATTTGAACTTGCTGTGATGAATAAGAAGGCTCCCTAGAAGTGTTCCAGGCCAGATTGGATGGAGCTCTGAACAACCTGGTCTAGTGAAAAGTGTCCCTGCCCATGGCAGGAGGGTTGGGACTAGATGATCTTTAAGGTCCCTTCCAACCCAAACCATTCTATAATTCTGTGATCTGGTAGCTGGTGATAGGCTTAGACCCATTGTGTTTGGCTATGGATTGTGTTCTTCCATTTTTGTTTAGTGGTTTCTCGAGGATCCCCTCTAGGTTTGGCTGTAGAGAAGGTGGTGGATGTTTGTCCCCTGCTCACTGCTGGCACCTGGTGGTATTTTCCCTCAGCAGTTTCTTTACTTAGGCTGATCAGACATAGTGTTTTCATCTGTTCTTGGCACACAAGTGGTTTATATTTTGATAGTTTCTGTGACTTCTTGCCTTTCCCAGGCTTTCCAATACTCTTTTAGGGTGGCTAGGACTTGGCTGATTGTTCATTGTGGACGCATGGCACATGCCAAATAGTTTATGTCCCCTATGCAACTTCATGGGTGAAGCCTTTTTGTCTTTTTTAAATCTACTGTCCTTAAATTCATTGCATTAGCTGCTTTTGGAGGTGGACTGGAGAAACTTTTGGGAAGTCAAATGGCCAATATGCCTTGCTCTCTCTGTGCCTACACACTCACTGATTTTTCCCACAGAAGCCCAGTAGGTTTAAGAGACATATCCTCTCTTTGTACAAACCATGTTGATTCTTCTCTGCATTCCACTTACCCCAGCTTACTTTATTAAGTAATATTTAGAGTGTTGGTGTGAATATTGAACAGGTACTGGACTGAAAAACAGTGTAAGAAAAACTGACATCATGTGAGCCACTTCTCAGCCTCCTGGCAAGAGGTTTTTTTACAATCCATGTTTCAGCTATTTTGTCTTTGAGTTGTTTCAGAGTTGTTTAGTGTTCTGACTTGGGAACATCCACTGAGTCTTCTGTAGAAAAATCTAAATTGGCTTTACTATTGACTTTATGCTCTCTGAGCACTTCTAAAAATCTTCACACATTGAACCTACAGTCTATTAATATTTTTGTAATGCCTTTTTTAAGTTGTTTTTTTTTTGGGGGGGTAGGTTTGCTTTTTCACGTTTTTATACTGCCAGTGTTTGATCATCTCTGTTTTTATGATCTGAACATGGTTTCAGCTTTTTGAAGGCTCTTCTGTGGATGGTTTCTTTTCCTGCTGTGTAGCTGTGCTAGCTTTCCTTTACATTTCAAGGGTTTTTTTGCCTAGTATTATGTGTTTGCTCTGAGCCTTTTTTTAACTCTGCTGCTAACTCAGTTGGAAGGGGATCTTAGTGCTTTCCTTTTCCAGTGTATGATCACTAAAACTACTAAAGGTTTTTTTTATATTCCCTTTGTTTCAGTTGTGTGAGCTCAATATCTTTACTTACAGCATATAATCGTGATATTTGTCTTGGTAGAATATCCCTCTTGTCTTTTTTTATGGTCTTTTTTTCAGTGCAGGCAGTGCTAGTAGCTGCCTGTGCTGTTTACCTTTCTATCATGAATTTTCTGGGCAATAATTCCGATTTATGTCTTTTTGCTTTTAAAATTTTTAGTTGGTGGGAGTTGTACTTTGTTTTGAGAGAATAAATAATGATAAGCATGATTTCCACATGATCTTATGTTGGGTAGACATAGTCTGACTGATGGGTCTGCTGTCTTTTGTCATTACTGATCTAACAATAGTCACTGCTGATGTTGTACTGTAGTTATTTAGGCAGAAGTATGTGCATATCTGTGTATGAACATCATAATATTGTCATGGATATCTGTTCAGATCCAGTGATCTTATAGAAGGATAAGTGTTCTCGAAGTCTTAATTCCTTTTTTATGTCATTTTTATAGCACATACACCTGTTAAATCCTCAACTTTGTTTTCCTAGGTTTTTTTATTCCTGGTTTTCCAAAACTGTTGAGGTTTCAAGAACATCATGACAAAATACTGAAGAAATTTCTGTCCAAACTTAAGCAGCATTTGGTAAGTATTTGTATCACAATTCAAGCAATGCTAATTTTACAGTTTGCCACCTTCAGTTCAGGTGAACCTGCTGGGTCAAGAATAGTCAAACTTTAGGAAAAAAATGCCAAGTCTAAGAGGCAGAAGTGGTGTTGTTTTCATTGTAGACAAAGCTGTGGTGCACTTTGTCAGAGTTGTGGTAGAATTGGATCCTAAGAGTAAAGAAATTTGGTGTCTTTCTCACTTTGGACCTCTGAGTTAAGGAAAATATGTGGTCCTTCTACCTGGCCTTGTGCAAACTGCTGTTATCAAGATGATGTTAAACTTTTTGTCAAGGGTTTTTTATACCTAGAGCTTTGAGGTTCATGTTTGGACAGAGGTGACTTTGCAAGCAACCAGTTTTAAATTCTGCTTAAAAAATAACCTTTATAAGAGGAGTTAATGTTCCTTTTAAAATTTGCACACACTCATAGTATTTTCCTGAAGCTAAATGTAGAGTTTTAGCTCTTCTAATGCTCTTAAAGAGGAAATAATATTCCCTTTTTCTGTTTGTTTTGACTGTATTTATTCTAAGAAATAAATTTTTTTTCTAGTGGGAGAAAAATGCCCTTCCAACAGTCATCAAAATTTTCCTTTTACAATACATTGGTGTTCCCAGAATCCATCTCTGGATCTTTAAAGGTAGTGTAAGAGATGCTCACTTGCAGCAACATCTAAGAGTAATTGCTGCTTACAAACATTACCTTCCCAGGACTGTATTATTTTCTGTTTAGTATGTTTATCTCCTTAAGAAAAGAAAAAAAGACAATTTGGGAGCAGAGGAGCACCTTGGCAGTGATGAATTGCATCTAATGTGTGCTCGTTGTATTATAAAATGGAATTTAATGTCTTTTTTTTTTATTTTTTTAAACAATGTGCTGTAAGACCTGCTCATAACAGGGAATTAGGCAGATCTGGTTAGGAGAAAAACCCACTCTGCTGTTCAAAGGTCAAGTCAAAATTAATCATGCAAGATTATCTTGTCATATTAAAAAAATTCAAGACCAGTTCTGTAACTAATTTGATTCTGCAGTGAAAGTAGTGGATTTAGTTTTTACAGCACATGCAAGATGATGATTCTTGTTTAGGAATATAGTGTTATGCTCATTTTTGAGATGGTCACATTTTAGAAGGAAAATACAGAATAATCCCAAGGAGTCTGAGTGGTTTTAACAGTAAGTGGTAAAAGGCCCTTGTACTTCCCAAAACTTCCAAAATAATTACACCTGATTGAGGTGACAGAACCTGAGGTTGACACATTAAGCTTTGTATTATTGTTCATACACATCTTATTGCTGCAATTAATAATCAGGAGCTTTTTTTCCTGTCATCTGACCCTGTCCCACATCTCCCTGCTCTGCCTTGGGTCACTGGAAAAAAAAAAGGTGTCAGAAAAGTGCCCAAAGCTGCTTTAGTAACTGGAAAAACTAATGTAATTAAAATGCTTCCATAGCTCTCTTCTGAGGGAGTTCTTGGCCATTTGTTTAGAGGGATGCAGAAAACATTCAGTCTCTATATTTATTACTATTTTTTTCAAGTTTTAATTCAGAACTTAGTTCTGGTTTTGTGTGAATCAGTTTAGTGACATAGTCCCAAGAACAAGATAAAGGTTAGGATGTGTTTTAATACCTTTGCATTTCTAAGTGCGTGTTCTTCAGGTGGTGAAGTTGATGGAAAAAAAACTACAAAAGACAGAAATTTCATTTGTTGGATTGAAGTAACATTGTCTTATATCATTAACTTAATTATTTATGGTGAATATTGGGTGCATTGGCCTCAAGGTGAAAATGTTTTTTCGTGGACAGTGCAAGGCAGTACTTGGATTTTTGTAAGCATTTTTAACATTCCCTGTTCTTTGCAGGACTCCCAGGACATGTCCACTAGCTTTTACACAACCAAGTGGTTTTTCCAGTGTTTCCTTGATCGTGTGAGTATGTTTTTCTTTCTATTGCTGTGTTTAATTGTGACTTGGGGCAGACTGTTCTCATAGCATTGCCTGATTCTGTCATTGCAGACTCCCTTTACATTAAGCCTCAGGATATGGGATATCTACATACTTGAAGGAGAGCGGATTCTCACTGCTATGTCTTACACAATTCTGAAACTACACAGAAGTAAGAAATCTCTCAAACATTTGAAAACTAATCAGAGATTCAGCTAGTTTCGTGCTCATTTTATGTAGTTTGACCTGGTATGAAGATCAGTTTCCCATTTGCCTTAGGTTTCTTATGCACAAAAGTGTGTGTGGTGGGTTGACCATGGCAGGATCCAGGTGCCTACCAAGCCACTCTATCCCTCCCTTCCTCAGCAGGATTGGGGGAAGCAGAGTATAAGATGGAAAAGAGAAATCATGGGTCAAGATAATAAAGCAAAAGCAAAGGCCATGCATGGAAGCAAAGAAAAAGATTAATTCTCCATTTCAGTCAGCAGGCAATGTCCAGTCACTTCCTGGGAAGCAGGTCTGGAAGGCAAAAACTAATGCTCCACCTCCTCCTCTGTCTTAGCTTGAATTGCACAGTAGATGTGATATAGAATGTCCCTTTGATTAGGTTGGGTCAGTGTCCTGGTTGTGTCCCCTCCCAAGATCTTGCCCAGGCTTCTGATGGAGAAGTGTTGCAGAGCCAGAGCTGATGCTGTGCCAGCACTGCCCAGCAGGACCAAAGCACTGGGGTGTTCCCAGCACCTCTCCAGCTACCAGTGCACAGCACAGCCCTGGGACAGCTGCTGTGGGGAAAACAAACTCCATCCCAGACAGGCCCAATACAGTGTGATTGCAAAGAAAATGATTTATTGCAGTGAGAAAGTTGTTTAATTGTTGACAATAAGTGAGCATATTGCTGACTAAACAGTGAGGGAGGACGCTGTAGTTCTGTGGTTTGGAAATGGCTTGTTAACCCCAACAGGATTTAAATTGACTGAAAAGCACACAGAGAATTCAGAGTGTGCCACTAAATGCTGAAACTCTACCAGCAAACAGCTCAGCAATGAGGACTCACCAGCGTATGTCTCTCTTTATACCATTGTTAGTCCAAGAATGTAATTAAAATCCACCATTTCTGTAGTCTGCCTGCATGGCCTTCTCTTTCATCCCTTGCCTTTGGTAATGTAAAATCTGAGATTTTCCACAGAAGGATGTCCAAAGTGTCTGTGTCTGGTTTCCCAAAGTGACTTAGCATCTTAAGTTCCAAAGGATTCATGAAGCTTTGAGGATGGATGTTAGCTTCTAAATAAACTCGAACATTTCTCAGGATAATACCTTGTAGCTTGAGTTTGAAACACTCTTACTGTGAGACTGTCTTTCGGAGTGAAGTCATTTAACTCTGTAAATTCAGAGTTCTGCATGGAGCCTGCAGATTTGATGTCTTCATTTCCTTGCTAGTTTGTCCTTTGTGATCCATGGTGATGCTACCTCACTGTCTCACTGGGGTGTACTCATTAGTTTGTTCATAAACTGCTTTGAAAAATGGAAAAGGTTACTTTTTTCATTATTGCACTGAAGAAAGCTAAACATTAAGAGGCAAATCATTAGCCCTTAGCATTCTGGTTTCTCTCCTTCATTTGCAAATAGACATCAACTAGAATTTTTTAATTTTTAAAAAATGATTGCTTTTATTATTTATTACTTTTTTTTTGTTCTTTTAATGGGAAGACCTGAGGAAAAAGTCTGGAATGTGGATTTGCTTGCTTAGCAAGTACATAGCAACTTCATCAAACACTGCGAGTACCTCAGGGCAAGAGAGGAGATGAGAGTGTTGGCAGAGAGGGTGGCAGAAGACAGATTCTGATTTGTTTTCCAGTTTCTTGTCTACCCTTAAAAACATTGATGGTATAGCTATCCAAAGTGTCATTGTACAGTACATGCCAAGGGCATTTTTATTACAGTGCAAAAACATTTTTTTATGGTTTCTGTATAGAAATTGTACATTCTGGAGCTTTTGATGACATACATATTATTAAAGAAGGTACATAGCTATGCAGTTACAGCCTTGCAAGCCACATGGCCTTACTGCTATGTAAAAAGGGGAAGAAAAATAATCATAACTAAAATGGCTTTCAAAATCTGACCTGAATTTTGAGAGAGCCTGAAGCATTGGCTCTGAAGTGTGAACTGCCATCGTCATTTCATTGGGAGTTAATTCAGTTGTGAATGAGGATACTGTAAATAGAGATTTTTAAAAGACTTTACTGCTTTTCACAGCTCTTAATAAGAGAGATGCTTATGTTGTACAGATCTACAATAGTGTTTGTAAGTCAAGGATACAGGATGGAAAATAGACCTGAAGCTGCTGGACATGAGAAAGCTGAAGGAGAGTGACTTGTAGTTAGTTTACTGAAGATGTTCCTTCTTGGAAAACACTGTCCTAAGCAGAGAATGATGTGTAGAAAGCATTTCCATGGTTATCTGCAAGTGAATTTTTAATGCATCTAATAGATTTCTGGTGTAAAAATCTGTTATCTGCCTAATTAACAAGTGTTTTTCATTCTACTTTGAAAACAAAAGCATCTAATGACTGAAGTACATTTTCCAGGGTTCCATAACCAAGATATTTTAATATATAATATTTTCTTCTTACACAGAGCATCTGATGAAATTACAAATGGAAGAGCTTGTAGAATTTCTGCAGGAGTCTTTAGCCAAGGATTTCTTCTATGAAGATGACTTTGTAATAGAGCAGCTCCAAAATTCTATATCAGAATTGAAACGAGCAAAGCTGGATTTACCAGTACCTGGTAAGAAACTTGTACACATGCAGATTTAAGTACTTGGAACTATTCACACGTTGTTAATTTTTAAAGTGATAATTGATGCTGTTAAAAATGGTGCAAATATTTCTGTCTTCATCAGGACATAGGTTTTAGGAGTTTTTACCCAAAAATATTTTACAGTTTAAAATCAACACTTTTCCTTTCATGAGTTTGCTCTTTTTTTTGGTTTTGCTGTTTTTAGGCTGATGACAAAGCACTTTGAGACATCCCATATTCTGATAATTTTGTTAACTTAATAAAGGTATGAAGTTATAAATCTATAGTTTATAAAACATTTTAGGTAGAAGATGAGATATGAAGGTTCCAGAGTGTTTGAAGCAACAGCATTGTCTGAAAATCCAGACTCTTATAGCTTGATTAGCGATGGAACAAACTTCAGGTCAAATAGTTTTTTCTGTCAGTCAAATCCAGATTTTTAATTGTTTGCAGGTGACAGATCTTCTGGGTGGTGGTTTTTTTTTTCCACTGGGCAACAATTACACCTTTAAAAACTAAAGTAAAAATGCATGTTAGGAAAAAAAAAGAAAAAAAATCTCCATCTTACAGTTGTATCAGTATCAGTCATCCAGGAATAGCAGTGAGCTAATTAAGCTCAGTGGAATTTTCCATCTGGCATCCTTTGTTAGGCTGTATAGATTTTCCTGCCCTAGTAGGGTAAGCTGCAGTAGGATATTAAAAGAGGTAATAATTTTTGTGTTACTTTAAAGTGGATGTCTACTTATGTCTGAGGTAGCTCTCTCTGGCTTACTTCCTCCATGGCTTTTCCTGC